GAGCATGCAAAGCCACAGAGTGGTGCAACATGACAGATAAGATAAGCGTCCTCCTCGCTGCTTGAAGGGCTGACACGGCTGGTGATGCACAGCGTTATAGATAGACGTGGGGGACCTGACGTCTGTGGAGTTAAGCACATGCCAGATGGAGAGCGTCAGCGGTGCGTGTGTGAAAGAGTGAGATTGTGTGTGTGAAAGAAGAGGAAGACAGCTTTCAGTTTGAATGTGAGAAAATCAGAAAGACAGTCAGGAAAAGGAGAGCAGAAAAGGTGTGTGTCCCTATGGTCGAAAAAAAGAAAACACTGCAAAAGTGCTCTCTTGGTTGCTCCCATGGTAGATAAAACATAATAAATTGCTCTCTGTGGTGCCTTTCCAGTGGAGAAAATGTGATAAAGTGTCCTCTGTCATGCCCTTCCAGTGGAGAAAACGCGATGCAGACAGCACCATATGAGCTGCATGATGGCAACTTTCTGCATACTGGTGCACTTTTTTTTTTGCTCCAGCCCCTCAGACAGCCTGAGTCTGCCACTGCAAGAGATATTAAATAAAGATACACATCCACTCACCACACCACAGGAGCCTAGATGATCAGCTGTCACATGCCATCTTCATCAGCCCTGACTCAAAGACAACTTCCAGCTAAACCTGTGTGCGATTATTCACCGGGGTGTTTAATTAACAAGAAAATCCAACTAAGCGTGTAAATTGCTGCCACTACTGTAGTTTTTGACATGAACTAATCAGAACAAATCACTGTTCTGCTCATTTGACTAACATATGATGTTGAATATGATGCATTTCTTAGTGCATTAATCTGCATGGTGGCAGTGACTCACCAGCAGGCTTACTTAATGTTACCTGAATTGCCTTTCTGTCTGCTGGGGCACAGCTTTCTGTTTTTGCACCTGAGAGGAGTAAAACAAATTAGGAGGTGTCACTCTGCTGCCGGTTCTCAGAACCAAAAACAACTCTCAAGCCAGTTATGTATGTAACTAATATTTACTCAAGTATTGTACTGAAATACCTTTTTGAGGTACTTATACTTTACTTGACAAGTAAAGACTTTACTTGCATTATTTTAGATGAAGTTACATAATATGAAGTAATTAAAATTAGCTCCACCCTTACCAAATGGATGGTAAATGGTAAATGGCCCTGTTGTCGTGGATTTGTCTTCACATGACTTTTACCAACTCCAACCACTGAGGAAGACCATGAAATGAAGTTTGAAAGTTCTAGAAAAAGCTTGTAAGTTAGAAGAGTCTCAATAGACAGTGGACTGTTCACTTTTTTTTATTACTTCCTACTTTCCTCTTTAAAACTTCCACAAAACACATGTTTTTCTTTCAGCAGAATACAATCAACAAAGACATGTAATAGTTGCATTACTGTGAAAATGAAGCCTCAACTGTTTTTACACCTTGGCTGTGAATTTTCACAGAAATCCTGTTGTTCTTTGCTTGTATTCAAATGAGCTCCACATTACACCACACAAAATATTACTGACAAGCTCCAAAATGCAGTCTATATACTTTTAGATTACTTAAAGAAATGTCTTTAATTATATATTTTTTTCAAGCAATGGTTTGTTCAGTGAAGGAAGAAGTACTCAGATCTTTTACTTAAGTAAAAGTAGCAATAGCACATTGTACAAGTAAAAGTCCTGCATTACAAAATGACTGAGAATCTGAGAATAACATATATCATATTATTGGATTATAATTCTTGATGCAGCAATGTTGCGTGACGATGCAACTACAGTAGTAAAGGTGGGTTTATTGTATTTCTTCATATACTGCTAGGTAGTTTAATCTGCTAACTAATTAGCAGCTAGCTGAGGTGAAGTGTAGAGTTGCAGACAATGGAATTACCCAACTAAAGTACTTTCAAATTTGACTTCTATTCGGTTTGTTTGTTTTTTAAATGTACTTTTTCTTTAGTGCAAATGTTAACAAGTTCATGGTACTTACTCAAAGAGCACAACTAAGTATAGGATACTACTGCACATACCTACTCTAAAACCTACACATTTTATAGCTTAGCCTATTTATAATATCTCATGAGGTCAATGAGGTTTTATCCAAGCACACATGCTAGTTTTGATGATATAGACACAGCGCATTATGCACAAAACGAAGCTGTCCTCATAAACATAAATTGGAAAGGATCTGCTGCTAAAAATTATTTTTACTAATTTGCCCAGATACATTTGGAAAAAAAGTAATATTTACCAACATATAATAGACACCTTAGTTCATACTGAACATACAGTATGCAGTGCAACGTTAATTGGCAGTGTTTTTCATTTGTTTTCCTACACTATTTACTTGTAGCAGACAAGCCGTAACCTTTGTGGTTGGCAAATGAAGCCAAAAACAAAAGTAACAAAAACTGCACTTCCTCTAACGTCCACTTGAGGCTGGCTCCAGAAGTGATCAATCTCCGTAAGGCCCCACATTAAAATGCCCAACTTTAGAGCAGAAATAAACACGTTTACTGGCTGGTACAAAAAACAATCGTTCTCTAGCTAGTTCCCATTCATGAAAACACAGGGAGTGAATTAAATTTTTTTTTTTTTTTTTTTTACATAGGATTGATTTTTATTTTTTTTTAGGACATTCTTACTTTTTCCTGACCTTTATCAAAGTTTTGTTGTCATCTAAACCTAATCATATGCTGTAAAATATAATAATAATAATACATAATTTTAGTTATTGATGGTCACATCACTGGTCTCATACTTTATTCTGCTGTGCAAATGACTGTAATGCATGATGAAAACAACTTCAACAAGTGGGAAAATATTGTTGTTGACTTGGAGGTACTTCTTTCTTGGAGAAGTGTCAACGTGTGCACATTGCAAATAAAGAATGTTACCAAAGACAGATAATAATAAAAATAAAAATAAAAATAATAATAATAATAACTTTATTTATATAACACCTTTCATAAATGCCATGTAGCTCAAAGTGTGGCGTTAAAACAAAACACAATAAATAAAAACAAACACATTAGTAGGAATATATACATAATATACATAATAAAATAGCTGAAAAAAAGCATTTTGTCTCAGCTTTGTGAATTATAACCTAACCAGCCAGTGTGTGTGAGCAGGCACTGAGGTCTGAGTGCTCGTTGTGCAGCAGTCTGGTTTTGGCTGCACACAATTTAAAAGTAAACAGTGTGCAAACACACACAGTAATGGCATGGCAGTGTTCAAATTAGAGGCTACAGATGGAACATACAGTATCTTTCCCACTGCCTTCACTGGGCTGCAGCCATTCAATCAGCTGAAGGGGAAAACTTGTATACAGAGTAAAAATAGCTTTGGATGATCATCCATTCATCTTGAGCTCAATACAGACCGCTTCACTGGCATTCTTGATATAGCCACATTTAAGTTATAATTTTTGTATTTGTCACAAGACGTCTATTTTTAGAACAATGTCAGAGAAGGAAACTCCCAGATCTTTGTACTTTTCCATCAGTGCACAGGAACAGCTTTCACTGCTTAATACTTTGCTATATGGTTGGCTGTGCAGGTGCAGTTAAAACCTCAACAGTAGTGATATGTATGAATAGAATTAGATTAATGTTTGTGGCGCAGTTTACAAAAAATCTGCAGAATAATGAGGCTTGTGGACTACTGTATTTGAAATAAGTAAATTATATATATGATATATGATATATTTAATCAGTCAATTAGCTGATCGACAGAACAATAAGCTGCAACTATTAGATTATGAAATGGTTGCATGGTGTTGCTATCAGTTCATTTGGGTTTTGGACTTTCAAATAAAACAAGTAATTTGAATGTATCAGTTTGGGCTTTGAGAAATTGTGATGTCTATGTTTCACTGTTTTATAACATCCTATTTTCCAAATGATTAACTGTGTGAACGTGCCCTTCCAGTGGAGAAAATGCCCAACATGCTAGTCAAGTCAAGTCAGACTTTATTTATACAGACCAAAGTAACAAATCTCAATTTGCCTCAGGAGGCCTAGAACACCCTGTTATTTCTTTCAGACGTGCCCCACATTTAGGGACAGCCTCGTGCATTCATATCTTCCAGAGGATAAAAAAGGCACTTGGTTGACCAAACCGGTACTCTTAAATGTATGCATTGCCCCCACTGTGATAATGTCTTGGAAATTAAATATTGAATTTTGCTGATGTCAGCACAAGCAGAACTTGTAAACACTGCGATTCCATTAAGTGTAACACCACTTTTGTAATTTACCATCTGCCTTGTCTGTGTGGGAGGGTTTTTCTACATAGGCCATACTAAAAGACATCTGAGGGATCACCTTGCTGAGCATAAATATGCCATTAGAATAAGGAATTGTGAATCTTGAATTTCACAATGCGAATGATTTTGATAATTTTGTGCGGCTAAGGATCATTGAACACATCAAACCTTTGATCGGGGAAGGAGACAGGATGTAGAATCTTAAAAGACCAGTATGTCGGATTCAGTGGCATCTAGCGCTGAATTTGCAGATTGCAACCAACTTGCCTCACCCTCCAGTTTCAAGTCTGTAGGAAAAACAACAGAGGCCTCGACACTCTTGAAAAATGCTGTGTGTGTGTGTGTTATCTTTTATTTGTCTTACCTGTTGGGGTATTATCTGGGTCAAGTGACTGACTACCATTGGCTGTTGCTTCTATATACAGGTGAGGCCACACCTGTGTTGTTTGTTTGTTTATACCCTGACAAAGACCTACAATGGTCGCAACATTAAAAAAAAAAATTATCCATTACAATAGGGGCGTATTAACATCATCATCGACAACACATGGAAAATATTACTTCTAGGCTGACACGTAGCTACAATCTTTACCTATCTTTGTTAATGAGCTTAACACCCTGTCAATAGACGATCTTTGTTTCGCAGTAGCAGTTGGCGGGCGCATGCGCGGCCGCAACCTCCGCTCCCCCTGCGCTGAGCGCTGACAGACAGCAGGCTGGCCGGAGACGCTCGCTGTGCTGCTGTGCTGGGTTGTTGTCTCTTCCTTGCTCCGTCCAGTTGTGAGCTGCTGTCCGGATACAAAGTGATATCAGAACGGGACTTAATTTCTGTTACAGGAAACAAAAACAACACCAACAAAGTGTTTTTTGGACACGCTGACCGCCGAGCTTTCTCCCCTTCCGTCCTCCTCCCGGAGGTGAACGGGCTGTCGGTGGAGGTAAGTGTCCGCTTTTTGTGACAGTTTTCGCTGCGGAGGAAGAGAGGGATGAACGGGCGGCTGCTGTCCCGCACGGCTCGGTTAACTTCAGCCTTCCTTCAGCTCACTATCAGGACTGTCTGTGTGTTTAATGTGTGGATGTAGATACTCAAGTCTTCCCTTGTTAACGGGGTGACAAGAATAAGGGCAAGTTTTCCTCCGGTCGTCCGTTAACCACCCCCCCACCCCCGCAGCCACGGAGCACACTGACCGTCCTAAACGTGGCTTTATAACTTTGAAAGGGGGAAATGATTTTCTTCGTTTTTTCCCTTTAGAAGACAACACACTGTATTATTTTGCTGGAGACCGTAGCTGCTGTTGCAAGAAGCCCAGGTGACTACCTGTTAGTGAAATCAAGTTCCCTTTGTCTTCAATTGAAGTTGTCTTTAAGGACAAAACGGCGCCCATATTTGTAGTAAGTAACGTTAGGCCCCCAGGGCGCTGATGCACCTGCACACTGAAGGATTTATCACGATAGCTTGTAGCTTTCCACTGAACATAATCAATAGTTTACAGCTCAACCTCCCAACGCTGGCCACAGTTCAGATTCCAGTTTGGTCAACTTGGCAGAATAACTTGATATTGATACATATCAGTGTAGTTTGGTGGTATTATGGACATTTACACGCCAGAAATGTGAGAGAGAAGAAATCATAAGATACTATCAATATCATTTACTGTTGTTTGATCAGCTTGACATTCAGTGTTTGAGGCAGGGTTCAGATGTGTTTTATATTAGTTAATATTCACATGCTCATAGACATCCCCTTTGCAGTTATTATAATTGTAAAATGCATCTGAAGCTAATATGAAGCTTGAGCAGTCTGAGTTTGTCCAATCAAATGGGTACTAATTAGTCACCTCTTGAATGTCATTTTGCACAGAGGGGACTGTGGATTCTGTCCCCATCTGTCCCCATCTGTCCCATTGTATTCATACTAAGAAGGAGTCTTTTCACCGCCAATGTGGACACTGAAGGAATGACTGCAGCCACCACTTTAATGCACGCAAGGACATGGGAGTATTTAAAATGTGAACCGATTCTTTATGACCAGGAGCGTTAATGCTATTGAGTGATTTAGAAAAAATAAAAAACCATATTGCTGTATCACCCAGCAGCAACGAATACTGACCAGTTGACTGGAACCTACTGAAACCAGCAGATGATGAATAAACACAAATGAGAGACTGGGGTAGTGAGAGCTTCAGCCTTGGTAGCAGCTTGTATTTCTGGGCATTGAACCTAAATCCTTCTGCAGCTGTGACTGTAGCAAGAATCCAAAACTGCCAAGTACCAAAATCCAGGTTTCTAATCGGGGCTGTATGATAAACATCGCCGTTATTTTGATGGATGTTGTAATTGTGATATGATTAGTGGAAATGGATTTTGGCATCACAAATGTAGTTTTCACAGAGGAAGGAGGGTTCAGAGGAGGGTTTTGTGGGTATCCTTTCTCTAGGTATTATGCTCATATTCCTCAAAGTAAGGAAACAGGAAAGCAAAGACATTTCGGGTATCGTATCGGGAGCCTGATAACCAGTCTTAATTCATGAGTCTATAGTCAGTGATTGTACCTGCTGATGTCCTTTTTTAGAGACAGAACCTGTGAACTGTAACTGTTGAGAGCTGCTGTTTCTGTGAATCCAACAGCTTGTACAGCTACGTCAGTCTCATCCACACTTTCCTGTTGCTGCTGTTCATTTTTCAGAGATGTGTGAAGTGAGTCACAGCTCTGGAGCTACTTTATCAGCCCTAGTATCAATTGATCCCGAGCCCTATTCACCATGCCAAAAGGACATTTCTGTGTCGCCTACCTGCAGCTGGTGTTAAATGAGGATTCAAATGAAAACAGATCTGGTAATGTGATGTGGCACTCACAGCGGCTCTCCTGTTCGGGTTTTACAGCTTCGGGTTTCAGGCCCGCTGTGCTCGGTAAGCAGAGTGAGCCCTGGCCGGAGCAGGTGGCTCCTCTGGGCCGGAGGAATGTAAATAGAAACGGTAACTCGAGCCTAATGTTCATCCGCAGCCACCTCGGGACCATCTGCAGCTGAAAGTGTTGACGAGGACGCAACGCTGCTCTTGTAAATGAAGCTCAAGTGCGTGTGTGACATTTTGTTTTCAATTAGACTTGTCCTGCACTGTGTGTAAGGCATACATAAATGTTTTCCTAACAGTAAATCCTCAGTTTGGACTGACTGTCAGAGATCTGAGCAGCGTGCTCAAGCTGGAAGTCACTACAACAGAGCCCCCAGCAGCCTTTTAGCCAGGACAGTTTGGAAAATGTGGCCCCCTGATTATCAATAGCCTACCAGGTTCTTTGTTTTCTTACTCGAAATATGACAAACACGTGAATCAATTCTCACCTCATGCCTCATTAGTGGTAAACATTAGGTTGGTTCAGTAAAGCGTCAGGGCAATCTCTTTAAACTCGGCGCAAACGTCCACTTGGACTCAAGGATGAAATGATTCGAATTTGGTGGTTTTTTTTGGTCACTGTGACATCACAAAACATGTTTTTGGTCAACAATTGGGTGGAAAATCAGTTGGAGACACGTTTGACACAACCTTATTCAACACCATAGCTCAGGAAGAGAAGGGGCGATTGTGAGATTGTGACTATATTTCAAAGTTGGTCCGTGGTAATTCAAGAAGGAACTGGGCGAGTCCAGACTTTACACACGTTGAGTGGGACGACACAATGAGTAGACAATAACAAGCACAGCACAGGCTTTCATCTTTCCATCTCAACCAGTCTGCCTTTCGCTTCCTGCCTCAAACGTTTTCAGCAGCTTGTCTGAAACATTAGGGAGGTCATTAATAGATATCAAAAATAACAAGGGCCAACATAAACAAGTTGATCAACATGACCAGTAGGATGCACAATGTGGATTCTTTTTCCAAAGCTCTGCCTGACATCACTATTGTTAACTCAAACACTTCTGACTCTTCAGATGTTCATTTGTTTATTTTCTAGTGAACCTGATCAAAAAAAAACCAAAAAAAACGTCACAAACATACTTTGGCTTGAATTGAGCATGAAGCCTATCAATTGTTTTGCATAAGAAGTCAGAATAAGTTATTATTATAATTTACCAGCTGTCAATTGACAGAAAACAACACAATGGCTAATTTGATGATTGATTTGACGACATTGGTCGACAGATGTTTGCCAGCTGTGAGAGGTGGAAACAAATGACAGGTGGACAATGAAAACTTAATTTGATCACCGTGATATGATCTGTATGTGGCATGTGGTATAGAACGAGGCACAGTATCAGTTTGCATTCCTCTCCAGTATTGATTAGGTTATTACATTTAGATATACGGCCATTTTTCAATGTAGGCTTACATCGGCTTCATCGTTATAACTCTACATTGATGAAATACAGCTGAAAACGGGCCAATGTGTTTGGAGGAGGGCCAGGTTTTTGCCCACAGGCTGCTATTTTCCAACCTTAGAGTCTATTGATCGAAATCAAATATAATGTGATAATAAATGAATATGTTCAATGACCTGTTACTTTGTCACTTGTCATATATTGAGTCAAATACTTGAGAGACGTTCATGGTCTGATAAACCCTACTGACTGAGGCTGACACTTTGTTTTGTACTGAAATATCTTGACAACTGTTGAATCGATTACCAAGACATTTGGTACTAGGCTACAGCTGCAACGTCACAAAATTTATATTATAATTGGCAATTTTGATTATTGATATGTCTGAGTCATTTTTAAAAAGAAATAATGAACATCTATTTGATCTGGTTCCAGCTTCCCAAATGTGAATATTTTGTGGTTAACTTTTTTGTAAAACCAAAGTCTTGGGGATTATTGTCACACGAAAAATACATTTGAAGACCTGGATTGTGGTGGAAACGAAGGGAATAAAGTGCGTCAGGTGATCGGCCCTACTTTTTGGGTCTTGTTTGGCCGTTCACATTATTTTTAAATGTGATCCGATTCCAGTGTGAACAGGTCACGGTCCTGAAATGACCTGCAGGACAGATGTAGATCTGTCGTGTAGATATAAAAGTCACATGAGAACCGATATGACTGTTCACACTGATGTCGCAATGCACAAAATCAGACCATATCGGATTTGGACCACGTATGAAAGTGGCCCCACTTGTGACTGCAGTGTGGATGTTCCCAAAATAAGATGTTGTTCTACAAAACTGAGGATGTTCTGTACAGGTAGAAAGCTTTCATGCTGCCTGTGATGTGTCAACAAAAAAACAATAATTCAGTCTGTTTTTGTGTCCCTGCTTCATGTTGTGTTTTGTTAGTGAGGCTGTACAGTTTCACACCCTCGTATTCCAACATGTCCGCTGTGATGAGCTGCTCTGGACCACCATCACATAGCTTTTTAAATATAAAATAAACTGTGGGCTGCTGTGGATCACTTCTGGCTCTGCAGTACATGCAGTGATGGCTGTAATGCCATCCTTTTGATTCGCTCTCTCAGCAGTATCACACAGCGTATTCATGGCCGAGCTATCTCCACTAAGTGAATATCTCAGGGTGTTTGATATTCCATGTTGATACTCTTCAATTTTCATGATGAAAAACATGTACTCTGAGTTTCTCCATATATTTCTTATTCTTTTCAGCATGGAGAGCCTCTGAAAACACGTTTACAGTAGAGGATCATGGGAAACTAAATCTCTCCATGGTAACTGATCAAATTCTTTGTTGTTGTTTAATGCATACTGACCTGCTGCACCTGTTCAGTGAAAATATTTAGCCAAAAATGTAAAACTGTCAAAGAAAACAAATGATCATTGCAGGTTTATAGTCTTACTTTGTGTATCTGTGGTCATATTGTTACTGGCCCACATGAATGGATCATTTGCTACATGGCCACATGTATGTGGACACCCAAACATTGCAGTCATACATGGTCATTCCACAACCAAAAAACCATGGGCATTAATCTGCAGCTATAACAGCCTCCACTT